GGGGAAAAACTATCGCTTCTATCCGACTTTCAATAGTTTTGCAGCTCTACTAATTGTAAATCATTTGCACTCATAATGGAGAAGTGCTTTTGAATTCACTGGGTGGGTATTTGTCGATATTTTGCTGTTCGTGACATTGGTTCATTTTGTTTATTTTTGATTTAAGAAATTAGCGGGTTGAAGCTTATATACAAAACACCTGCATGCTTCAGAAAGTTTAATGTGCAGAATAAGTTTATACTTGTACCAAAAATATTTATATATATGCACTGCCGTCTTCTCCTCTTCACAAAGCCTCTTTTAACTTAGAAACCTGATGAATTCCAGGAACGTGCCTGTAGTCAAAGGGGCAATGTGCTGTACCAGCAGGGTTGCGAATTTTATAATTCAAAAATTTGGAATCAAAAATTAAATTTTTATTTGGTGTATGTCGGGATTCAAAATTATAACTTAATTTTTTAATCCCGATGTTAGATTCCTTCCGCAAGAATTTTAGCCCTAGCAGTTTAGTAGTTGATGCATAGCGAGCTAATTAATTAGCCAGCTCATTCCCGAGTATGCCCGTGTGTACCTGCTTCCAGACTAGGAGGCCCAAGCAAAGATTTTGTACGCACACTTTGAGTTCTGTTTGACTTTCTTTTAGAATAGTTATGCGTTCATTATGTTAAAGGTTTGATTCTGCTTACCGATTTATTACCCTCTATTCGAAATATTTTTTTAAAAACCTTGCGCATGCACCTACTACCCATGCCTTTTGTTGTTTTCTTTAGTCGAGGCTATAATTTTAATTTGCTTTCAATAGCAGTCTCAATTTCCTTTGTAGTTCATTAGAGCCGCTGGATACCCGAGTGTTTTAGCCATTGGCATAAAAAAATTAAGGAAGGGCTATTTCGGGCTCAGTCGAAAAGTAAAATTATGTGGAATATTACCATGTGCATGCAAAAAAGTTGTTCGTTTTCAACATTAAATTAGGCGAAAATTTAAATCTAAACCATATCGCATTATCCCAGCGAGGTTCATTAAACTTTATGTGAAAAATCCAAGAATGAGAGAGACAAAAGTGTGACACCTGTTTAACGCAGACATAATTTATCTTAGAATGATGCAAATTCCTTCTAAAATGCCGTTAATTAAAAGTAGCCGAAATCGGAGTATGAATTTCAAGCCGCTAGATACCGAATATGTGCAACTCAGTGCCTGTGACAGAATTTATACTGAAACAATCTGTTAGATATTCAATTGAAATTCAGGGAGAATGGAGAATAGAAGGCCCAAATTTGGTTGAAATTAGTTGAGTAGCTTTTGGGGTATAGGTATCCAGGGCGGTTGTACGCCCATTTTCCAATTTTGATATTTGTTCCTCTGAAGCCCTTCCGTGCCATATGGGATGTGAAGTTTTATATATTTTCTGATGTATTAATTTAGTGACTTATCGCACTAGTAGTTTTCAATATAACCGTTATATGGGGAGTAATGGTTACTCGATTTTATCCATTTTCAGAGTATCGAAGGAGGTGCCAAAATGATTCTCCCGTAGTGAATTAAGTTATAATACTTTAAGTGGCGGGGCTATTCCCACTTTTAAAAAAGTTTCAAACTACAGATGTCCCTCTCTACTGCGATTTACTGTACTTACAGATTTGTATTTTAATTTGCAGTTTAGTTATGGCATTTTATAAGTTTTCGATTAATGTCAGTTTCTACAATACCATCATTCTCAAGGTGCGTTCAGTGCGTGTAAAGAGTTCTCATGAAGTCAAAGTGAAGTTTAATACAGCCTCTACTGTGACTTAGGCTCTCTAGCTACTTTTTACTCAACAAAAAGGTAACAAAGATTTGAGATAAAAAATCCACATCAAGATATTATTCACGGTCCAAGAGTTAAATATATTACATATTAGACGGTCCCACTGTTACATATGTACATGTGTTTGAATTATGCATGGACAACAATTTTATAAAAAAACGATCGTTCGAAAACATTGCATAGAAATTAATAAAACAATTTAAAGAGCGATTAATAATAAATACTGACAGAATATAAGGAGACAAAGAGAAAGCATTTAGCATAATTTAGCCAAATTAAGTATTAGTGGCGTTTTCTATATGTGTACGAATATGCATACATTTAAATAAATAAATGACCAGCCACTCGAAAATATTTGGAATATAAGCAATAATTTATGTATGTGCGAAACATTAAACGATAAAAATTCAAATTCGGCTGTAACGAAGCTATTACACCCTTCACAGGTGTATTTCTTTTAGCTTAAGGGTATATATAAAAAGATCATTTTCTTGATTTTGGTCAGTTTGTACGACAGCTAAATGCTATAGTAGTCAGTTCTGAACAATATGCAAATAAAATATACAATATACAAATACATTTTTCAATACAACAACTTAATTTTTATCGGTCAGTTTGAATGACATCTATACAAATGTTATAGTGATATCGATATTTAAGAACATACAATTGTAAACCGCGTTTATTAAAAATTTAATTTTAAGCACAAAATATGTCGAATAAATTCTGTTCACCATGTTCATAGCACATATAGTAATGGTGAAATTAAAAAATTGTAGTAAATTCATAATTGATGGATATTACTATATCGAGATTAATTGCGTCAAATTTTAACAAACTTCATACAAGGACTGAAATATTCAGTCTTCAATAATAAAGAAAATCAGTGTGTATAGTACATGGGAACTAGCTAGTATTGACCCGATTGCACCCATTTTCATTACTTAAATGTCGATAAAAAAATATGTTATAAAAAAATATTTGAATGAAATTAGTTTACCTAGTTGCTACAGAGTGTTGTTGTTTACAACATGTTGCTACAGAGTACAATAGTTTTGTTAACCTAACGGTTGTTTGCATCACCTAAAACTAATCGAAATAGATACTGGCGTATATATATATATAGGTAGTAATTATATAGGATATTTGCGGTACGATTCCGCCATCTACAGATCTCCTTAAAGTGACAAGAAAAATGTGTACCATGTTTCCTCAAAATATCTCAATTTTTACTTAAGCTATCGCTTGTGCCCAGCAGACCCGAACAGACACACATACATAATTCTTTATCAATCTCGATTAGTTTTAGGTGTTACAAACAACCGTCATGTGAACAAAACTGTTATACTCTGTAGCAATATGTGCCAGAAAGAGTGCATACAAGTACAAATCATTAAGTCTCCGTTTGGAAATAAAAAATTATATAAATATGTATTTAAAAGTAAAAGTTGAAAATCTTTCATTGTCTTTATTTATTTGATTGTAAATTGCGTCATAATAAAATTTAATGATTAAATAACCGATTTTAAGATTTTACACACATTTTAGCTGTAATTACTCTTGGCTTTTGATGAGGCTTAAAAAAGCAAACAAGTAAGCAAGGGCTAAGTTCGGGTGTGGTATTATCTACTTTCGCGATTTAACCAATATTTAAGCGAGAAAAGTCTTATATATCATATTTGGGAGCTAGAAAGGGAAAATGGGGGAAGCTGTTTCCCTAAGTTCAAGCTTTGCAAATAACATCTTTTACACTGATTCATCGATTCCTTGGGCTTATCAATTCACAAGAGCGCGGTTGGCTATGATATTTTTTTAACATAACTTTAGTAAAATCCCTACCATAAAGATTTTCGAACTTCGGGTTGACTTTATATCGCATAAATCGGTCAATATGTGCATTATCTTAAATAAATTTGGAATACGTTTTTCTCTAACAATAGTGTATCCTTGTCCAAATAATGCATAAGGTTAGGTGAATGCTTTACTTAGCTTCCGTATACCAAATATAAGGATATTCGAACATCCGGTTGACATTATACCATATACAAGGTGCAATTCAAAAGTTTCAGGAATTTTATTAAAAAACGAATATTATTTTTTTTTTTTGAAAAATTTATTGGTTGGAAGTGGTTGATTGTTAAAATTTGATTTTTTGTCAAATAATCGGCCACATGCGTCGATCGATGAGACGGCGCATTATCGTGCAACAAACGCCAACTTCCATCTTCGCGATATTCGGGCCGAATGCGACGAATACGTGCTACCAAACGCTTCAAAACTCCAAGACAAGGTAGAATACCGCATTAACGTTTTGGCCGGGTAGAAAAAATTCTTTGTGGACAATACCCTTGGAATCATAAAAACAAATCAGCATTGTCTTCACTTTTGACTTCTTCAGGCGCGATTTTTTGGGTTTCGGCTCGTTTCTCATTTATGTCCTCACGACCACTTTGAAAACGTTTGAACCACTCGTGAATACGGCTACGGGATAGACAATCATCGCCATAAACTTGTTTCATCATTTTATGAGTTTTGGTAAAAGTTTTACCAAGTTTAAAACAAAACTTAATGTTGGCTCTTTGTTCGATGCTCATTTTCCCATTTTCCGACCGACACTACAAATATGAATTCAATCTAGACCTTGGTACGGACCGATAACTTGTGTATTCGTTGGAAATCGTCTTACTGGATTTCTATGAGCGCCATATTGGCTAATACTTCAACAGCGTCGCTTGATGTGGTTCGGAAAGCACTTATCACATGTATCGTAGAAACCCTATGTACTGAGTTTAATGGTCTAGCATATGATTGCACATGAAAGTATATTTTTCCAGCTTTGTTTCTTGCGAATTGCAGGAGTATAAAATGTTCGGTTTCACCCGAACTTAACTGTTCCTTACATGTGCGATTGCAAATGCCGGTCGGGCTCTATATTTTGGCCGTGTTGGTTGAAATTAGAAAACAGACGAATATTTTAATGGAGTATATTTAATGAGATACATACTTATACTACATATTCTCAAGTCATAGTCTACTGCGTAGTAGCTGGTGTGCGAGAGAGTGAGCGCGTGCGTTTCTTTATAAGTTTGTGTGTTTTGGATTATTATTTAATACCTTGCATAAAGTAAGTAATGTTATCATTTTGCTACTAAATGTTGAGTATAAATAATTTTCGCATAGTATCAATACAACATTAGTGTGCACTGTGAAGTCATAAACGCACGCACCGCAACAGCTCACAAGAAAAATTCGACACGATTTTTATTCAGAACCATTTGTCGAAAATAGTGTAATATCATGAAAGTTCTATTTGTTGTGGCGCTTTTGATTGCAGCTGCTTCGTCTCTGCCACAATTTGGGGGCTTCGGAGGCCCTGGTGGTGGATTCGGCCGTCCTGGTATTGGCTTCGGATTTAATCGTCCCGGAATTGGTGGCGGTCCAGGCTTTGGTGGTCCTGGTTTCGGTGGAGGTCCCGGCTTTGGAGGCATTCCAGGTTTTGGTGGCGGTCCAGGCTTTGGCGGTGGTTTCGGAGGTTCCGGTGGTCCCGGATTTGGTTTCGGACGTTGAAGTAACGGTATTTTAAAAAGTCGACAAATGCTTCATAAGGTTTAATTTGGAATTAATTTTTTGTTTCAAATGTTTATTCATTTTGCAATGATATTTAGTCATAGTATACATATTTCTTATTTTTTTTGGTTGTTATAAAATGTTTGTGAAAACAATTGTTTCTGAATAATTTTCTATTTAAGTATGTTATTTTATTTTAAAGGAAATTTTATGGTATTTACTAAATTAAGGAATTGTAACTTATTATTGATATTAGCGTTTACTTAGCCTAAACGCAACTTATCCTAAAATCATAGCAGAGACAAAGCGCCTTCGCCCCTTTAAGGAATTTAATTGTTCCGACAGCTTAATTAACCCATCCTTCCTTAATCCGTTAAAACAAATAACAAAACAATTAGTTAACGTTTTCTTATCTTTGTTTTCCACGGATATATCTGAGGATGCAGAAATTAATATAAAATAGTGTCGATTACTGGTGTGTTTCAGAGTCAGCATTCCTTCTTATTTTTATGGACACTATTCACTTCATTTCATATATGTACAACTGTAATAACGAAATGTAAGATTAGGGCGGTTCTAGTGATTTTGATGATAAACCATATTGGAGTCTATAAAACGCACGAGGAAGAATACCGCATTAACGTTTTGACCGGGTGGAACAAATTCTTTGTGGGCAATACCCTTGGAATCATAAAAACAAATCAGCATTGTCTTCACTTTTGACTTCTCCAGGCGCGATTTTTTATGTTTCGGCTCGTCCGGCGCCTCCCATTCAGCACTCTAGCGTTTCGTTTCGGAATCATATTGAAAACACCACGTTTCGTCACTAATCACAATCTTGTAAAGGAAGTTCGGGTCTGTTTTTGCCTCTTTTATGATGTCCAACGAATGTTGAATTCTGAGCAATTATTCGTCGTCAGTCAATTTGTGCGGAACAAACCGTGCACACACCTTTTGTAAGCCCAAATGTTCAGTCAAAATGCGATAGATCGATGTTTTGGAGATGTTCAATTCTATTTCCATGAATTTCAATGATGATCTCGGCTGATTTTTTATGAATTCACACACAGTTTCGATGGAATTTTCGGTGATCACGGATTTTGGTTGGCCCACATGTTCATCGTCATTTATGTCCTCACGACCACTTTGAAAACGTTGAAACCAATCGTGCACTCTGCTACGGGATAGGCAATCATCGCCATAAACTTGTTTCATCAAATGAAACGTTTCGGTACAGGTTTTACCAATTTTAAAACAAAATTTAATGTTGGCTCTTTGTTCGAAGCTCATTTTCGCACCGATGACAAAAACATACTGACACATAAAACGCAATAACGTCACTTCCAATAGATGAAATGTCATGAAATTTTTACTGGAAGTCGATAAATGATAGCAGATTCTAACGCACTAGTCGACATATAGATGGCGCCACTAGAGTTACTGTTACTGTTTACTTTGGAACGCTTGTAAACTACAAAATGGTACAGAGGGTCTGTGAGTTGTAATTAATTAAATATTATATGTTTGACAAAATTATTTATAAAAAACAAATATATATATGGTACATAACTTGTCAATAGAAAGTTTCCGGAAATTGTAAATAAAACGAAAAATTTTTAATCTTTATCAATATTTACTTTATCGCTTTCAAAATATGCTCCTTCTGAAGCGATACTGTGTATCACAAAAATAAGTATGCACTATGTATGTGCGTAAAAAAAGTCATATCAATTGCAAAATAAAAATAAAACTTTTCGTGTTTTTTACAATAACAATTACACATAACATCGCCTTCTTCAGTATACTAGATCGATGTCATTCACATTTCCCGTTATTAAGAACCGTTGGATTTTCTCAGTAAAAACAAAAAATCATGTCACATAAGTATGTATGCAATTCACCATTTCAGTATGTTTTCGGCTGGCACACAGTATTCGTGCCCTTCAAAACCAATAAATAGTTATTTTTTGTTTAAGATATAAAGATTTCCAAGTTTTAATAATATTTCAACCGTAAATTAATTAAAATGTTGATCATAGCGCCGCGCGGAAGAGATCTATCATAATTTAAAAGATGTTATAATAAAACTACATAAAGGAAAAAAAAGTCGGAGGCAAATTGGAAAAATAAAAAATAAAAGTAATTCTACTATTCTTATATTAATATAAAAAAGAGGGAAATACACAAAATAAGGAAAGATCTGGGCGGCCAAAAATATTTGATGCAAACGAGCGGCGTATTATAACACGCAAGATACAGGTGAACCCAAAGAAGAGTGCACCAAAAGTGAGTACAGAGATTGAAAACGAGATTGGTAAAACCTGCAATCCCCAAACTATTCGTCGAGTACTGTATGATGCTGGCTACCATTGTCGTAATGTCCGTAAAAACCAATTCATAAACAACATTAACTGACAAAAAAGATTGAAGTTTGTGAAAGAGCACGAAAATAAAGACGAACATTTCTGGAATTCTGTTATTTTCTCGGACGAAAGTAAATACAATATTTTTGGACATAAAAAAGTTTGGAGAAAAGTGAATACTGAGCTTGGTCTACGGAATTTGACTGCCACGGTAAAACATGGTGGTAGGTGGCTCATGGTGTGGGGATTTATGGCAGCATCTGGAGTAGGTAATCTTGTGTTCATTGAGCATACCTTAACATTTTAAAAGCAAATTTGAGCGAAAGTGCGGCTAGATTGGGACTTGAAGGATCATTTGTATTCCAACAAGACAATGATCCAAAACACATCGCTCGCATTGTTAAGAAATGGCTTCTTTACAAAACACCCAAACAATTAAAAACACCAGCCCAATCTCCTAATGTCAACCCTATTGAGCATTTGGGGATGATTTAGAAAGAAAAATCGGAAGACACCAAATAACCAGCTCTCCATAATCTTTGAAAGCTGCGTTAATCGAAGAATGGAGCAAAATTCCATATTCAGTAACCGAAAAGCTGGTGAAGTCCATGTCATCCAGGTTAATTGCAATTAAAAAATCCAAAGGCTTTCCAACGAAATATAATATTAACCTAATGTCTACCAGTGGTAGACGTTGAAGGACGACCACAACGAGTCATGTCTTCGACGGATTCTCGACCATCCTTAAAGGCTTTGTACCAGTCGTAGACTTGGGTTTTCGATAGAATAGATTCACCACACGAAATATGGTTCGAAACACAAAATTTTATGCAAATTTCTGTTCAATATTTTTTTCTATTGCAAAAATCGTACAACACTACTGAGGTCGACTGATTTCAACAGCTGCTGCAAACAAACTAATGGACAGATCGCGCTCATTTTTGGCATAGTAATTAAAAAATATTCATCGCGGTCAGTTTAAATGACAATTTCCGGAAACTTTCTGTGTATTATAATTGTAGACTTAAGTTGAATACATATTCGTAAACAATGTATCAAAATGCAAAATATAATAACTTAACTCATTTCAACTAATGAATGAGAGGCAAAGTCAGCCAGGAATGAATGAATCCGACTAGTTTCCGTTGAGCCTCCGCGAACCAAACGACGCCATCGCAAGTTCATAGCTTGTTGTCATCATTTTGTGTATAGTAAAAGCTGTCGCAAAAATTTTCAAATTAATAAGAATCAGTACGGAAAGGCTAAGTACGGGAGTAACCGAACATTTCATATTCTTGAAACTTGCAATGATCAAAGCCGGGGAAACACCTTCATTCGTTGGCAATACCTTATATTAAACTATTCATCCATTTAAGGCAAGAGGATACACTGTTATAAGAAAGAGATTCCTTCTGAATTTCATTAAGATATCTTACATATTGACCGATAGATGCGAATTAAAGGGAACCTAAAGTTCGAAAAGGTTTATGTTAGGTATTTGGGGCCAAGGAAAGTGTTGACCCGGGTTTACCCATTATTGGCAAAAATTATAGTTCGATTTCGAAATTTTTTAGACGTATGGGTGTATGCATTAATTCGTGCGGTTTTGTTACGAAAATTAAGACTTTATTGTGAAAAAATTGTTATACATTTAATGTTCAAAGTATTGCCCATCGAAAGCTATGATATTTGCCCATCTTTCTGGCAGTTTGTGGATCCCATCCCAAAAGAACTTCTCCGGCTTGGAGGTCAAGAAAGAATCAATCCAATTTCTGATACCCTGTTCTGAAGAGAAGCGTACTCCGGTGAGGGCATTCTGCATTGATCTGAACAAGTGGTAATCGGAAGGTGCTATGTCTGGGCTATAAAGCGGGTGAGGTAGAACTTCCCACCCACAGTTTTCCAAATAGTTTTTAACTGGCCTTGCAACATGTGGCCGAGCGTTGTCATGATGAAAAATTATTGATTCGTGTCTGGTCGCATATTCTGGTCGTTTTTCCTTGATGGCCTTTTTCAAACGAATCAATTGTTTTCGGTAGAGGTCCCCATTGATCGTCTGACCCGATTTCAATAGCTCATAATAGAGCACACCCTTGTGGTCTCACCAAATACATAGCATAACCTTAGCAGCATGGATATTCGGCTTTGCCGTGGATGTTGATGGTTGGCCAGGCTTCATATACGATTTCTTGCGCTTTGGGTTATCATAATGAATCCATTTTTCATCGCCAGTGACAATCCGATGCAAAAACGACTTCTTTTGGTGGCGTTGAAGCAACATTTCCGACATGCAGAATCGACGTTCGACGTCTCTTGGCATTAATTCATAAGGCACCCAATTTCCAAGCTTCTGGATGAATCCTAATAATTTTAATCGTCTGAAAACGGTTGCTTGATCAACTCCTAATACATTTGCAAGTTCTGCTTGCGTCTGGCATGCATCTGCGTCGAGCAATGTCTCCAATTCTTCGTCTTGAAGTTTGTTTGGCTGTCCGGGTCGTTCTCCGTCGTCTAAGTCGAAATTGCCACTCTTAAACCGTGCAAACCACTTTTGGCACGTTCGTTCGGCTAAAGCATGGTCACCATAAACGTCCAGTAAAATACGATGGCTTTCGGCAGCACTTTTCTTCATGTTAAAATAATGAAGAAGAACTCCCCGCAAAAACACTTTATCTGGTACAAATTTCGACATTTTCAAATGAATGAAACAAATTGTTGTTCACGCTCAAACAATTTATATCTACTGAAAACGACGCGAAATGGCAGTACCTTTGAAATGAATATAGCCACAGATGAATACGACGCGAAATAATACTAC